CATCCGCTGCAGCTTGGGGCCACAATGGCCAGACCTGTGTGCAGTTTGACAGGCAAGCTCGCCTGTCAGTGATGATAAGAGGAAATTCTGGTAAGCCTATTCTCGTTCGTTCCGCCCCTCATCGAGCAAAGTGACCACTCGTTTGAGACGCTTTCCAGCAGGATTTGCGCCGCTTACATATATTTCGCCTGATTGGGTCGAGCTTTGGTGATCAGAAGGAATATAGAATCGAAATCATCACGGCTGATGGGTAAACGTCCTATACTTTTTTATGATCACAAGCCGTCATACTTAGGCTTTGTTGAGAAAAACAAAATTGCCGGCGATTCAGAGTCTTTCTGAACGATAGCTAATAAACCTAAACGATTTCAAACAGCCTCGAGAGTCTGAGCGACGGCGAAGGATTTGACGCGGCAGTGATGATGAAAGATTGAGCGCGCTACAAGTGGCGGCGCAATTGTGGCAGAAGTGACGTAGTTGAAACGGCAGTGGCGCAGATTGTGGTGAGTTGCGGTCTGAGCCAGTCAGAGCTCCGTCTGGCCACCCTGAGGTGATGCAGCGGTACCTTCAGCTGGTGTGGTGGTGAGAAGGCAGTGAGATCATTGTGAGATTCAGTGAGATGACCACCACGCGATCCTACAACATAGCTCGCCACTGGCGGTCATCTGCAGTCGATGCCGATCTCGATCATTAGCGGTTGCCAGGTGGGCGCTTCGGCTCAAGGCAAATCGGCAAGGTCACAAGGCAAGGCTGAATGCTGCGGGAAGGTAATGTTCCAGACACCGCGGAGCATGCCTGCAGCACAATCCGTGCGATGCGGATGAAGGGAAGAAATCGAAGAAGGATGTGGATAGCTTGAGGCGCGAGCAAAGACGCCGAACAGCGCGTTGGCGGTTTTCGACACTGCGACACAGTCCATCGTGGGATGATAGTCCCGCTGCTCTTTTTGGGCCAGGCGGAGCTTTTGTCGAGCTTATTCGGAATGTCAGGGGGCGGACAACGCTGCGTTAGCCGACATTGTTCAGCCACCAAACGCACCGCCCATGTGTCGGCAGATCTGAATAACTTAGGCGGAAACTACGGCGTCAATCGCGCGGCGCGGACATGGATGATCCGTCAGCTCGGCGGTGCCGACGATAGTAAAACTTTCGCGGTCGAGTTTTACGAGAGTGGCTGACAATCAGTCGGCGGGGCAATATTCTGTGGCACGCCTCCTCCGTCATTCAATACGACGTGCCGTATCATTGGCGGCGCTGGTGAACCGTCGCTTGATGAAACAGGGAAACACGGTCATGGATCGTTCGGGACTGCAGGTAGATGAAGAATGGTCGCTGATGTGTCGGGCTGACCTTGTCATATGAGATCAGCTCCTGGACATATCGGTTTGATCAGCGTGTCTGCATATTGGTAGGCGGTAAAGGAAAAGCCCACGGCAGACTTTCATCAGATCGGCCGACTGACATCAAATCTACTCACGACTGCCAGATAAGCCCATGAGATACATCATATCAGCCCTCCTACGTCCCTTCCCTCTTCCTCTCTCCTCTCTTTCTTTTTCTCCTTCTACCCTCCCTTCTTTCCTGTCTCAAACTGTTTCCTCTCTCACTCTTCCCGTCCTCCTTTCCCTCCCTCTCATCTCTAAAATTTGCCCACCACTATGCCACCCTTTTTCAAACCATACGACACCGCTGAACGAGTGTGCCTGTGCAGTGTGCACCTACGTCGGGTCACCGGCGTGCACCAGGGTCAGCGCACAGCACACGCCCAGGCACGCACCTGATTTCGCCGACCGGGTCACATGCCGCCGGACCTTTTATGGGCACACAGTGCAGGGGGCTGCGATCGCACGTGCAACGGCTGCAGATGAGGCAAGACCATTTGCAATTAACAAAAAGGAGAAGTGGCTGGTTATGGTAGATCGTGCGCAAACGACGCGATGGAGTGACGGAAGATGAAAGTGGTTCGCAAAGATACCAGAGAATGATTTTCAATTGAACGTTTTCTAAATGAGATGTTAATCGAAGGTGATTTGATTACGCTATGAAATTCAATTCATTCCGGTCTGAATACATCTTTACGCTTGGCGCGCCTTTAAAGTTTTTTTTTCGGTTGGTATCTCAGCTACTGACCTATATATCTAAAGCACTTGCTTCTCCCCAGAAGTAAAATGACAGCAAGTTTAGACAAGGTTACCTCGACAGGCAGGTAGAGCCTACTTTGTATTTGGGTAACGTCATTATACTCTAGCTCTGAGCTGTCTTTTCGGTGAAAGGCGGTACTCCTGTCTGTGTGACTGACTGGAACAGGACGACCGAGTCAACCACCCCGCCTCCGCCGCGGGACACGGCCGCTGTCCAGTCGGGACCGACCTATACAAATAGTCAGCCCTGCCGGCCATACACCACCGGTATTTCAATTACGGCCGGCCGGCGACGGGGACGGACGATCGGCCGGCCGGCGGCACGCGAGGGTCGGTCCGGGGAGCGGGCCGGATCGGGCCGGGCCGGACAGCCGTCAGACGAACGGCCCGGCCTCAATGGGATGACCAGACGGCCAGCTGGGCGCCGAGTCCCGCGGCGGACGGTCACAGAGGAAACAGGAGACGGTCGGAGAGGGATGGAAAGGGGTGGGGCGGGGTTCCAGTACGGACAGAGCGGTAGCCAGTCGACCGTGGCCGACCCGCAGCGCCCAGCCGACCAGCCGTATCGAACTGTATCAATTACTCGCCCGCCGGCCGCGCCTAATTTGATGGGGTCGCGTGGGCCCAGTCGGCACGCGATAGTCACCCGATGAGGTGGGCGGGGTCGCTCGCAGCAGCTCCTCTCCAAGTTTTGAGCCCCGCGGTCAGATGGTAGTGGGTCCACCCTTGGAGACGACTGCGCGCCGCCGCAGGAGTCCACCGTGGCCGTCATCGCTCGCCCCCGCCCCCGCCCCCGCCCGGCGGCCGGCGAGACCCCGCCGAGGGGGCAGAGGCGGTCGGGGCGGCTGTGCTCCCCTCATTTCTCGCCTTTCGAAGCTCACCGAGGTACTTGGCGCCTCGATAAATCACAGGTGGGCGGCGATCTGGCCGCCGGGGCGCCACCAGTGCCGCGCTGTGTGGGAGGTGCGCCATTAGCGCCGCCCGCCGCGCCATCCGTCTCAGCGCGCTACGTGGCGCGGCTGCAGATCGCGCCGCGCCGCGCCAGAATGGTGTGTTGTGCGCCACCATCCGCCGACAACAGCGGCCGGCGCGCAACAGGTGTCCACGAGAGGTGGTCATTTGAGCGCCGGGAGCACCCTACTGCTGGTCGGAGGGCGGCGTCCGGTGGGTCAGGGGTCCTCAGCTGGGCACAGGGCAGGGTGACCTCGGTCACTCGGCACTGGAGGTAGTTGGTAGTGAGGGACTCCCACTGAGGAGCGAGAGGGAAAGCTGGGAGAGAGTTTGCGGTTCACTGGATGAGCCGAAAGATGTTCGAGATGAACTGCAGTCAACTGAAATAGCAAACATATGGACAAATCTGAAGGCATCTAAGCGGAAAGAAGGACAAGACAAACAAAAATGGTACCCGTTATCTTGAAAAAGACATCAGGGAGCTTTTTTGCTCATAAATAGCGTTAGTTTAAACGCCTGAAGATAGACTGTGCCGCCTGGCTTTCAAGCCTCAACGCCTGAGGGTAGACTGTGCCGCTTGGCGTTCAAGCTTAAACGCCTGAAGGTAGACTGCGCCGCCTGGCTTTCAATCCTAAACGCCTGGTGGTAGGCTGTACCGCCTGACTCGAGCTCAGCGGGGCGCAGTGGGGCTGCCTTGCGCAAAATGACGACAATGCTGGTAATGCAACAAAGGTTGGAAACCAGTCTCGGTGTATCAGTGCTTAGTTTTGCTCATCACCAGCATATAGGCCAGGGATATTAAGTCGTCAATACGTTAAACGATAGTCAATGAAAGTCGGAAAGCCGAATGAAAGTGAACCGGAGTTAATTCGAGCCATGGATGCCAAAGAAAGTGATCCGGTTGAACCAACGGTTGCCCAGGCCCGACGACGGAAGTCAGCCGTGATATTCGGTGGAAGGGCGCAAAAACTGGCCATGCTGTCACTGAAGCACGACGGAGCCTTCAAACAGAATTTTCCACCTGACTGAAGCAGCGTAAGCCGTTCCCTCACGTACGCCTATAATAGAGTTAATGCCTATTAGGATGTCAAATAAGGTCCAATAACCTGTCACGCTAAGGATGTCGATTGTATAGGGGCACAAAATGACGTTGAAAGAAAATAATGCATCCACGATGGCAAATATAGCATACAACTCAGATGCACGTCATGAAAATCATAAATAAATGTGGCTTAGCCGTCTTTTTGCCTCACATTAGTCATGCGAAACACATAATGTCGCAGTAAGATTGAAACGAACAGTTGACAGTTGTGTAACGAAATAATACTTCCCTTATAGCCGATGGACTCTAGGCGAATGTACAAAATCACTGAAATTATATAATTATTAAAGAAACATTTATCATTTATCACGAGTGCTATCGCATGACGCCGATTAAAACCCGTACTCGTCGACAAACAAGCTCATTATGGCTATTTACCGAGACATGGGTAATAAATAACATTCGACCTTGTAGTTTGAAATACGGCCGGCTTGACAGGTGGATTTCAGTCGTTTAATTTACCACCCAAAATGCAATAATGATATCTCTTATTGACTGACAGAAATCCTTGCATGACAGACACTTATCATTAAAGGTCCAGAAACGTGCGAACGCTGACTTTGCAGTTGTGCTGTTCCAACAGGCAGCTATTAAAAACTAAAATAGCCGGTACAAATACAGTCTTTCCTCGGCAAACGCTCACGAATTGTTCACGTAAATAGCTGACGTTTATTATAAGGTGCATTGACTGCACTTTGTCTATCATTGTCAGTCAGTCAGCCAGTTGTACCCCACGACCGCCACAGGCACCAGGAATGGTAATACGCAATGCGCAATACGCATGCGATGTTGCAGGACGGTACTCACAGGGAGCGTAATCGGTCCAGGCCAACAAAGTCGTCACCGCGGAGAGCCGAGAGACGGTTATTCCTCAGGTCTCTGTGGGCAAACACGAGGTTCAGTCAGGTCAATGGTTTCTCTCTGCGTGGGTCTCTTCAGCCAGCCTACACAGTTTTCTCTCCCCACTCAAATAATCTCGACGCTATACATGCTTGGTCAGATTAGTCACTGAAAGTCAACGACACCCACGAAGCACGGTCGGATTTCACGGCGCAAAGATCATAGTCCAAAGCACACAACTCCTGAGTGCAAATCCACTGTACACCGTGCAGTGTGCATTGCACCCACCTCTCGACATTGGAGCATGGCTTACCATTGTCAGCGCATTTACAATACGCATTATACGTGTACAACAGCTGTGAAGACAATGACTGTGAAACGTGTCACCGTCAGCGCCCGTTGTAAATCGCGCTTACATTATAACACAATAGCGGCGCACTATCTTAGCAGGGAATTCCTCCTTCAGAGCCCTCCAAGAATCTGGTCGACCTTCCGCGTCCCCTTCCCGGCCGTCTCCTCTGTTTTATCGTCCACCGTTGCCGATCTCCGGGCACTCAGACTCTATTGGCACGCGTCACTCCGGCGGAACAATCAAGTTACGGCCTTTCTCACCCCTGCCGGAGACGGCGGAGCGCGGCGGTACGTCTGTGGCGCAGAGGTGGCGAAAGGTGGCGCGATTGCGGCGATAACGCGGCGCAGACAAATGGCCGAGGTGCTGACGGAGTGTCCCTCTAATGGACCGCTCGGCGCAGGACAAACTCAATTAGGTACGTCCCTCTGTCTGTCTCAAGATAGACTTGGAGACAGGCCCTAAGAATCTCGCGGCCGGGCGGCGGCGGCGGTCAGGCCACGTGATCTCGTCTCCAAACGTAATGTTTCTCGGGCGTCTCCGCCGACGGCGAATGTCCACAGGTAGAGCCTACGACAGCAGAGAGTCAGCCAGCCTGCCCTCCGCTGACCGAGAGCTCCTTATCACGTCCCTGTGAGAGTGTTTCCGTGTAATCCGGTGGGTCGGGGCTCCGCAGCGCGGTGTGCCCGGTGGTATGGTAGCACTGGGCTGCTCCCGGGCTGTGCGCTGTCGCCGTTCCTGTCTACCTGTGACAGAGGCACGTCCGGAGAGCTGGGGACGCCGCTACCATGGACTGACTAACGCCACTTGGGGTCAGAGTGGTAGACGGTTGTCATTGGTGGGTCGGTACAGAGTAGGAAAAAAGGCATACTGCCGTTTGTTACGAAGCGAGCGAAGCGAGCGTATAGTCTTTCCTTAGATTAACGGAAATTTCTGAGTATGAGCGGCTGGCCGGCCGGCCGGCTTATATCTCAGCAACCACTTGACCGATTTACACGCGGTAATTTTTGTAGGGTAGCTTTATTCCTTCTACCAAGTATTGGACTATTCCCGATGCATGTGGGTGACCCCTTATGCACGTGCCACGTGCAAAACGAAGAGGTGTCACTTTTGTAATTGTTGCAATATCTCGGTAACTACTTGGCCGATTGCGCTGAAAGTTGGCATGTAGGTAGGCACCCACTAGGCACTGCATATCCATGTGCCAGAGTTGGGGTGCTGCTGCACGTGCGCACGTGCAGGGGTCGATTCCAGATCTCGAGAACGGCTGGACCGATTGCGCTCAAATTTGGTACGCGGTTAGGGACCGGTTAGTAGGGTGGGGTGCACAAGTCAGTTGGGACCCATTTTGCACGTGCGCACGTGCAGGGTGCCGCTTCCAGATCTCGAGATCGGCTGGGCCGATTGTGCTCAAATTTGGCACATCGCTAGAGACCGGTGAGTAGGGTGCCGTGCACAAGTCAGTTGGAGGTACCCCCTCGAAATTTCGTACGTGCAAGCCTCACCCTCTCGCTCGCTCCGTCAGTCGCCCCATAAGGCGTTATACTGGTAGTTAGTGGTATACTGTAGTGTGTAGTTTAAAGAAACTGCAGCTCCGCTTAGACATCCTGTCACCAGTTTTTTTCTGTGAGGGTATAGCATAAACGCTCGAATTTCATATCCATCCATGAAAATCCCTATCTGCCAAGGATTTCAGTGACTAAACTGAACCATTTTTGCGTTGTGTAGCCGAACTTTAAATAACGGCTTATTATCACTGCAATACTTCAGTGGCACATCCAAGTAATCTCGTCTACCGCACAAGCTGTATCGTATATAAACTAGAAAGTAACACGTGCATTGGTCTGATAAACAGCAATGTCCTTCAAGCGATTGCACTTGGAGCAAGGCTAATTCCAACTTTTGTTCTTCAAAAAGCGATGAGCCTGTCGATAATGTCAGTGATATATGGAAAAGTACTTTAGAATAGCTATGTAATTTTAAGATTCAAGTAAAATACATGGAACCATTGCACTCCTTTCACACTATATACCTACTGTTATCATTGGGGTATCTGGCATTCGATTGCTAAAAATGTAACTTTCTTGCATCAAAATATCATAAAATATCAGGGAACGATTACGCCAAAACAATCATGTTTACTGAAAAATAGCATTTATTGTCAAGTAGACGTGTTTTCTTGGCGAATTTGTCAATAATTACCTGGTAAATATCACACAAAACTCTGACGTTACCTAAGCCTTGTACAAATATAACAGCCAACAGCTAATCTTATTACTTTCGGTTGGTAATGTCTCAAAACTCAAACATAATTCCAGACATTCATGTCTTCACTGCGCCATCCTAGGCCATGTGGGGAATAAAATCCATATATGCCTATCACAAGAAACCGTTAAACATAAGCCATGTCACCTAGAACTGTATGCAATGTTATCAAACCTTCGTCTAAGACAAGGGAAATTAAATGCATTTGATTAACAAGAACTGGATGCATGTTCATGGCATGACTCATGTTTATCAATCTTACTTTGAATCCATATGAAAGCACTTATCATCCTCATTAAACAACTTACAACACTCAATGCGGATCAATCTTGAATTACAAAATGAGTCACACCAACCTCTTGCGGGACGGTTGTAGTTGTCTTTGTGTTTATGCCCGTGATTCACCAGCAGAAGGCCTCCAGATTTCGACACAATACATACCGATGACACTATCAATAAGCTCTACATACGTAAGTAGCTTCGACTCGAAGTGCAGTCGTGCACCGATAAGATAGCAGATCATGAGGCGCCAAGCTGTCTGGCGGGTGGCGACCACAAATATGTCAGGTGTACTTATCATTGGGGTATCGTGCAAAGATAATAGGATCAAAGGAAAATGTTGCAAAATTGATCAAAATAATGAGAGTATAAAGCTTTGAAAATTGAAATTTTATTATAGGTTATTAGTATTAATATGGTATAGGTAATAGTTTTAACAGAACATAATGAGCACGTAAGACATGTGATATTGATGAATACCATGAGGAGCAGCATTATACTTGATGTATAATGCCCTATCCTATTGACGCTAAAATATGCCGATAAGATCATTTTCAAGCATTGAGATTACTAAATAAGTAGGGTGTATGACACTGTAAATGACACATATTATTCAGTATCATGCATGAGTAACATGGCACCCAGCTGTCCTGATGCGATATCGTGACTCGTATTCTACATGAGACTCTGACGTTAATAGGGAAAACCACAGAGCTCTGAACTCGTCTTATACCTTCGTGCCCCCTCTCCCTGCATTGTCCCTATTGGTCGACATAGCAATGATAAAATGAACGTAACGTGAGTTGGTTGGTGTTCCAGTTTGCTTGCAAAGCGCAGGATTTAAGAAATGAGAGAAGTAAACGTCACCTACCGACAAATGTGAACGGTGTAATTCACTTGGTCCTATAACGTCAGTCGGTATGTATTCTCCATTCAGAGAGAGGCGTCATTCACGGCCGAAACCCCCATTCCATCACGAAGTTCAGCGGGAGGGCGGCGGGGCCAGACCTTATTCAGACGCTGGGAACCCTTGTTCGGACGGTGCGAGTTCCTGTCTGGGCTCAGAGTTACTGTCGCGGAGCCGTCTGGCCGTGCAAATACACGTCAGATACCCGTCTGCGGTGTTTGAGCAGCGATTGGGAGTGTTTGCGCTGCGTTAGGCGTGCCTTTCGCGGCCGGATCAGCGACATTAGAGCCTCCAGATTACGTATGCATTATGCTAATCGGTTGACAGTTGTGACGGGCTGCGCGACACTTCCCCACGGTGCTTCTGTGGCAGTAGCGGCAGCAGTAGCAGCAGCAGCAGCGGCAGCGGTGGCAGCGGCAGCGACAGCAGCGGGAGCAGTAACAGTACCGGTGGGCGGGGGCGATGACTTTTGGCGGTGGATGGCAGTGCAGCTGGGTGATGAAGTAATAATTTTCACACTTCTGACACTTGACACATTCTTCAAGAATATTCGAAAGATTTTGTAATTTACAAGAGAATCCTAATTTTGACTAACTTTGAGTCTGATCCTGCTCAGACATCGTCAGTCGAGCCTTGACGTGATTCCCGTCACGACTGTTCAGAGGTCATCCACAAAGGTTACACCCCGAGGTCAGAGCTCGGTCACGAACCGAGTCGTTCGCACGCGTTTTTGTGACGTGGGTTCCTTGCGGTGATGCATGTGCCTGCGACGGTGCACAAGGCGACATTTGAAACGCGGCCCCCACTGGTGACATTGGGCGTCACCGATAGTCTCAAAATTAGACCTTCCTAGCAATTAGACCAAGTGACACGATGCAGAATCATGGTTTGGACATATCAAATTGTGACACAAACTCGCTCTGACATATTACCCCATTTTTCGTACGAAGTTAATTGAAGTTAATTAGTTCGATCTAGCGCATCCAAAAACTGCGCGATCAGCAGCACATCGGTCCATCTCTCTCATTCCACCAGCTGGCCGCTGCCGACCGATCCTGTCCGACCGCGGACCGATCCGTTTGGACGGTATACCGGTCGGCGTGCGCCAGGGACCGCGGGAAACGCTGCCAGCACCGGCGCACGTGTCTTGCATCACTGCTCACTGCTCGGACTGGCTGCCCGCCGCGCCGGCTGCGGTGGGCTGGATGTTGGCAGACTAGAAAAATCGCTAAGGGCGAG